GAGCAAGTGTGCAAGATGAGTGTGAAAGAGACAAATATTCTTGCAGGGTAAGGGTGGGAGGGCAGCTGGCTTTCCCCAGCTCTGTGAGCTGAGGGTGTGACCACGCCTCGGTGTATGGTTGTGTAACAGCTCCTCCCCCATTAATGGGTCACTCTGGCGCACGGTGAGTATTTCTAGGGCAGCGCCTGACTCCTGCGGGCAGGGTGTGTGTGCACGTTGGTCTCTGAGTGGGGTGCTGAGACCCATGGGGATGAGGTAGGGTGGGGGATGGGTGCACAGAGATGTGTCCGATGGGGCTTGGCCTGTGGGCATGTTTGAGGGACGTGCACACACGGTCAGGGCGGGGGGATGGTGCGAAGGGGTGTGCGTGTGTCAGGGCAGTGTGATGGGTGTTCCGCAGGGGAGTGGCTATGGTGGCATGTGTGGGGCACATTACTGTGTGTTTAGGGATGCGCACTGAGTGGTCAGCACTGGGGACATGTGCATGGACCCATGAAGAGAAATGTGGCACGTTCCCACCTGCTCCCATTTCACCCCATTGCCAATGTTTTAGGAACCTCCTGAGCTCAGGCCTTGGCACAATTGCCCCCTCTTCCCGCCTCACCAGCCCTGGTTGGGGCGTGTGTGTTTGGATGTGTCTGTTGGTTAGACAGGGGCACTTAAGTTGTGCTGTATACTAGGGGGTCTGTATTTGGATGATGCTAATGATCCTCAGCCTCTTCCCCCTGCTGCCAGGGATAGGCAGAACCTGGACACGGGGGTTCCCTTTCCTGCCCCAGCTCCAAGCAGCTTCTGGGGAGGGACAGATCCTGCTCATGCACTGTTAACCCCACACCTGTGAGGACAGAGGGGGCAGGATGGGGGCCCTGGCTGAGCTGGGGGGGCCCGGAGGAGCCCAGATAGCTGGGGTCTGCTCTGGGAGGGCAGTGGGGCTGTGGGTCAGAGCAGGGGGCCGGGAGCCCAGATAGCTGGGGTCTGCTCTGGGAGGGCAGTGGGGCTGTGGGTCAGAGCAGGGGGCCGGGAGCCCAGATAGCTGGGGTCTGCTCTGGGAGGGCAGTGGGGCTGTGGGTCAGAGCAGGGGGCCGGGAGCCCAGATAGCTGGGGTCTGCTCTGGGAGGGCAGTGGGGCTGTGGGTCAGAGCAGGGGGCCGGGAGCCCAGATAGCTGGGGTCTGCTCTGGGAGGGCAGTGGGGCTGTGGGTCAGAGCAGGGGGCCGGGAGCCCAGATAGCTGGGGTCTGCTCTGGGAGGGCAGTGGGGCTGTGGGTCAGAGCAGGGGGCCGGGAGCCCAGATAGCTGGGGTCTGCTCTGGGAGGGCAGTGGGGCTGTGGGTCAGAGCAGGGGGCCGGGAGCCCAGATAGCTGGGGTCTGCTCTGGGAGGGCAGTGGGGCTGTGGGTCAGAGCAGGGGGCCGGGAGCCCAGATAGCTGGGGTCTGCTCTGGGAGGGCAGTGGGGCTGTGGGTCAGAGCAGGGGGCCGGGAGCCCAGATAGCTGGGGTCTGCTCTGGGAGGGCAGTGGGGCTGTGGGTCAGAGCAGGGGGCCGGGAGCCCAGATAGCTGGGGTCTGCTCTGGGAGGGCAGTGGGGCTGTGGGTCAGAGCAGGGGGCCGGGAGCCCAGATAGCTGGGGTCTGCTCTGGGAGGGCAGTGGGGCTGTGGGTCAGAGCAGGGGGCCGGGAGCCCAGATAGCTGGGGTCTGCTCTGGGAGGGCAGTGGGGCTGTGGGTCAGAGCAGGGGGCCGGGAGCCCAGATAGCTGGGGTCTGCTCTGGGAGGGCAGTGGGGCTGTGGGTCAGAGCAGGGGGCCGGGAGCCCAGATAGCTGGGGTCTGCTCTGGGAGGGCAGTGGGGCTGTGGGTCAGAGCAGGGGGCCGGGAGCCCAGATAGCTGGGGTCTGCTCTGGGAGGGCAGTGGGGCTGTGGGTCAGAGCAGGGGGCCGGGAGCCCAGATAGCTGGGGTCTGCTCTGGGAGGGCAGTGGGGCTGTGGGTCAGAGCAGGGGGCCGGGAGCCCAGATAGCTGGGGTCTGCTCTGGGAGGGCAGTGGGGCTGTGGGTCAGAGCAGGGGGCCGGGAGCCCAGATAGCTGGGGTCTGCTCTGGGAGGGCAGTGGGGCTGTGGGTCAGAGCAGGGGGCCGGGAGCCCAGATAGCTGGGGTCTGCTCTGGGAGGGCAGTGGGGCTGTGGGTCAGAGCAGGGGGCCGGGAGCCCAGATAGCTGGGGTCTGCTCTGGGAGGGCAGTGGGGCTGTGGGTCAGAGCAGGGGGCCGGGAGCCCAGATAGCTGGGGTCTGCTCTGGGAGGGCAGTGGGGCTGTGGGTCAGAGCAGGGGGCCGGGAGCCCAGATAGCTGGGGTCTGCTCTGGGAGGGCAGTGGGGCTGTGGGTCAGAGCAGGGGGCCGGGAGCCCAGATAGCTGGGGTCTGCTCTGGGAGGGCAGTGGGGCTGTGGGTCAGAGCAGGGGGCCGGGAGCCCAGATAGCTGGGGTCTGCTCTGGGAGGGCAGTGGGGCTGTGGGTCAGAGCAGGGGGCCGGGAGCCCAGATAGCTGGGGTCTGCTCTGGGAGGGCAGTGGGGCTGTGGGTCAGAGCAGGGGGCCGGGAGCCCAGATAGCTGGGGTCTGCTCTGGGAGGGCAGTGGGGCTGTGGGTCAGAGCAGGGGGCCGGGAGCCCAGATAGCTGGGGTCTGCTCTGGGAGGGCAGTGGGGCTGTGGGTCAGAGCAGGGGGCCGGGAGCCCAGATAGCTGGGGTCTGCTCTGGGAGGGCAGTGGGGCTGTGGGTCAGAGCAGGGGGCCGGGAGCCCAGATAGCTGGGGTCTGCTCTGGGAGGGCAGTGGGGCTGTGGGTCAGAGCAGGGGGCCGGGAGCCCAGATAGCTGGGGTCTGCTCTGGGAGGGCAGTGGGGCTGTGGGTCAGAGCAGGGGGCCGGGAGCCCAGATAGCTGGGGTCTGCTCTGGGAGGGCAGTGGGGCTGTGGGTCAGAGCAGGGGGCCGGGAGCCCAGATAGCTGGGGTCTGCTCTGGGAGGGCAGTGGGGCTGTGGGTCAGAGCAGGGGGCCGGGAGCCCAGATAGCTGGGGTCTGCTCTGGGAGGGCAGTGGGGCTGTGGGTCAGAGCAGGGGGCCGGGAGCCCAGATAGCTGGGGTCTGCTCTGGGAGGGCAGTGGGGCTGTGGGTCAGAGCAGGGGGCCGGGAGCCCAGATAGCTGGGGTCTGCTCTGGGAGGGCAGTGGGGCTGTGGGTCAGAGCAGGGGGCCGGGAGCCCAGATAGCTGGGGTCTGCTCTGGGAGGGCAGTGGGGCTGTGGGTCAGAGCAGGGGGCCGGGAGCCCAGATAGCTGGGGTCTGCTCTGGGAGGGCAGTGGGGCTGTGGGTCAGAGCAGGGGGCCGGGAGCCCAGATAGCTGGGGTCTGCTCTGGGAGGGCAGTGGGGCTGTGGGTCAGAGCAGGGGGCCGGGAGCCCAGATAGCTGGGGTCTGCTCTGGGAGGGCAGTGGGGCTGTGGGTCAGAGCAGGGGGCCGGGAGCCCAGATAGCTGGGGTCTGCTCTGGGAGGGCAGTGGGGCTGTGGGTCAGAGCAGGGGGCCGGGAGCCCAGATAGCTGGGGTCTGCTCTGGGAGGGCAGTGGGGCTGTGGGTCAGAGCAGGGGGCCGGGAGCCCAGATAGCTGGGGTCTGCTCTGGGAGGGCAGTGGGGCTGTGGGTCAGAGCAGGGGGCCGGGAGCCCAGATAGCTGGGGTCTGCTCTGGGAGGGCAGTGGGGCTGTGGGTCAGAGCAGGGGGCCGGGAGCCCAGATAGCTGGGGTCTGCTCTGGGAGGGCAGTGGGGCTGTGGGTCAGAGCAGGGGGCCGGGAGCCCAGATAGCTGGGGTCTGCTCTGGGAGGGCAGTGGGGCTGTGGGTCAGAGCAGGGGGCCGGGAGCCCAGATAGCTGGGGTCTGCTCTGGGAGGGCAGTGGGGCTGTGGGTCAGAGCAGGGGGCCGGGAGCCCAGATAGCTGGGGTCTGCTCTGGGAGGGCAGTGGGGCTGTGGGTCAGAGCAGGGGGCCGGGAGCCCAGATAGCTGGGGTCTGCTCTGGGAGGGCAGTGGGGCTGTGGGTCAGAGCAGGGGGCCGGGAGCCCAGATAGCTGGGGTCTGCTCTGGGAGGGCAGTGGGGCTGTGGGTCAGAGCAGGGGGCCGGGAGCCCAGATAGCTGGGGTCTGCTCTGGGAGGGCAGTGGGGCTGTGGGTCAGAGCAGGGGGCCGGGAGCCCAGATAGCTGGGGTCTGCTCTGGGAGGGCAGTGGGGCTGTGGGTCAGAGCAGGGGGCCGGGAGCCCAGATAGCTGGGGTCTGCTCTGGGAGGGCAGTGGGGCTGTGGGTCAGAGCAGGGGGCCGGGAGCCCAGATAGCTGGGGTCTGCTCTGGGAGGGCAGTGGGGCTGTGGGTCAGAGCAGGGGGCCGGGAGCCCAGATAGCTGGGGTCTGCTCTGGGAGGGCAGTGGGGCTGTGGGTCAGAGCAGGGGGCCGGGAGCCCAGATAGCTGGGGTCTGCTCTGGGAGGGCAGTGGGGCTGTGGGTCAGAGCAGGGGGCCGGGAGCCCAGATAGCTGGGGTCTGCTCTGGGAGGGCAGTGGGGCTGTGGGTCAGAGCAGGGGGCCGGGAGCCCAGATAGCTGGGGTCTGCTCTGGGAGGGCAGTGGGGCTGTGGGTCAGAGCAGGGGGCCGGGAGCCCAGATAGCTGGGGTCTGCTCTGGGAGGGCAGTGGGGCTGTGGGTCAGAGCAGGGGGCCGGGAGCCCAGATAGCTGGGGTCTGCTCTGGGAGGGCAGTGGGGCTGTGGGTCAGAGCAGGGGGCCGGGAGCCCAGATAGCTGGGGTCTGCTCTGGGAGGGCAGTGGGGCTGTGGGTCAGAGCAGGGGGCCGGGAGCCCAGATAGCTGGGGTCTGCTCTGGGAGGGCAGTGGGGCTGTGGGTCAGAGCAGGGGGCCGGGAGCCCAGATAGCTGGGGTCTGCTCTGGGAGGGCAGTGGAGCTGTGGGTCAGAGCAGGGGGCTGGGTGCCCGAGTTCCTGGGGTCGACTCTGGGAGGGGAGTCGGGCTGGGGGTCAGAGCAGGGGGCTGGGTGCCCGAGTTCCTGGGGTCGGCTCTGGGGGGTAGTGGGGGCCATGGCCTGAGCTGGTTCTGGAGCTGGAGCGCACTGACGTCTGTATCTTGGTTCTGAGCAGGGCGCTGGTAGAGAAGCACCTTGCTGCCTGTGTCAACATCGTGCCTCAGGTCACGTCCATGTGAGTGCAGGAGCAAAGGCCTCGTGCTGGACTTGGATGGGGGGTGGTGGGGGAGCCCCCTGGCCTCCCCAACTGGGGCAGGTGCTCCCTCTGCCTCCCTCTCACCCGCTCCCTCTGCCTCCCTCTCACCTACTCCCTCTGCTGCTGCTTTCAGATGCCAGAGCCCCCTGGCCTCCCCAACTGGGGCAGGTGCTCCCTCTGCCTCCCTCTCACCCGCTCCCTCTGCCTCCCTCTCACCTACTCCCTCTGCTGCTGCTTTCAGATGCCAGTGGAAGGGGAAGATTGAAGAGTACGGGGAGGTGCTGGTGGTGAGGAG